AAATTGAAGAGTCAAAAAATGCATCAAAAGTATTTGGTATATTACCTTATATCGATCCAAAAAATTTAGATAGAAATAATAAGGATTACAAATTAAATAAAAAATCCGATGTCTATAGTGTAGGATACTTGATGTGGCAAATTTCAAGTGGATACCAACCATTTAAAGGAGTTAATTATGATGAATGTTTAATTCTGTCTATATTAAATGGAATGAGAGAAAAAATTATCAATGAAACACCACCCAAATATAGTAATCTATATCAAGGTAATTAATACAAATTATCATTTTACATTTATAAATGCCAAAGTTTTCTAACCCTTATTTACTAAATTAGAATGTTGGAAGTACGAAATTGATGAACGTCCTGATATACAAAAAATCGTTTCAACTCTTAAAACAATTATTTCTCTTGAACATTGTGAAATATTTCATGCAAAACTTATTGAAGAAGTAGATTTGCAGATAAACGGTACATCTAGTTATATATCAAGTAAAGAACGAGATGATGATTTGGAGGATTTAGAATGTCCTGAAGATATTAATTATTACATTGATGAAAGTTCAAGTTTACATAGCAGAATATCTTTTCAACCAAGTATATCGGACAATAATTCATTAATTAATTCGTCAATAGAAGATAAATCTAGTTTGAAATCAAGAGATGATGATTTAGAGAATTTGGAAGTATCTGAAGATGCTAATAATAATAGTAATAATAGTCAAAGAAATTCAGGTGTAAGTCAAAAAACTTTTCAATCAAACACATTGGATTTTAAAGATAAATTATTAAGTTCAATCTTTATTAAAAGATCTTCAAAAAGTTCAATTGACTCAATATTTATTAATAATATAACTATTGATATTTTAATTAAACGTGTAATTAAAAATCTTAATGAAGGAATTAATTTTGATCAGATTGGCTTTTTTATTAAGCAAAAATTATCAAGGTTAAAACAAATAGAAAATATTTTAGAATGGTTAAGAAAGCAGCAAAGCTTCCAATATGTTTGGTTTCTTGGATTATTTTATTATTATCATATTGGTATAAATGAAAATGATGGTGCTAAAGCATATGATTTATTTTTAAAAGCAGCAAAAGAAAATTATTCAATTTCACAAGTTTATCTCGCTAAGTGTTATTATAATGGATATGGAACTGAGTGTGATAACAAGCTGTCATTTAATTGGTATCAAAGTTCTGTAGAAAATGGAAGTATAATTGGACAATTTTATTTAGGATATTGCTATGAATATGGTATTGGAACTCTGCAAAATAAAAAGAAAGCCGTTTATTGGTATTATACAGCAGCCAGTAATGGAAATATAAATGCAAAATGTTATTTAGCAGATTGTTTTAGACTAGGAAAAGGTGTTGAAAAAGATGTTAGTAAAGCCTTTAAATTTTATGAAAAATTAGCAGAAGAAAGAATTTCTGATGCTCAATATCAACTTGGAAATTGCTTTTTTAATGGAATCGGAACAGAAGTAGATAAAAATAAAGCTTTATATTAGTATAATAAAGCATCCGAAAATGGAAATATTATCGCGAAGGATATTTTAAAAAAGGATAATTTAATAATAAATATAAAAGTAAAAGAAATTAAATATTACTTTAAAAATAATTACTTTGAAATTGTAACAAAAAATAATTATAAGAAAGCATTTAATTATTTTCAAAAAGCAGCGGAAAACAAGAATGCAGACGCACAAATTAATCTTGGCAATTTATATTATAATGGAGAAGGAACAGTAAAACATTTAGAAAAGGCCTTTTATTGGTATCAAAAGGCTGTAGAAAATAATAGTGAAAAGGCAATTTTTACTCTTGGTTATTTATATTATATGGGAAAAGGAACAGAAAAAAATTTAGAGAAGGCCTTTTATTGGTATCAAAAAGCTGCTAAAAATAATGATGCTGTTGCTCAAAATGATCTTGCTATGTCTTATGCAAATGGTGAAGGAACAGAAAAAAATTTAGAAAAGGCCTTTTATTGGTATCAAAAATCTGCTGAAAATAATTATGCTGTTGCTCAAAATAATCTTGCATTTTCATTTAAAAGTGGTAAAGGAACTGTAAAGAATTTAGAGAAGGCCTTCTATTGGTGTCAAAAAGCTGCTGAAAATAATAACGCTATTGCTCAAACAAATCTTGCAATTTCTTATGAGAATGGTGAAGGAACAGAAAAAAATTTAGAAAAGGCCTTTTATTGGTATCAGAAAGCTGCTAAAAATAATGATGCTGTTGCTCAAAATGATCTTGCAATTTCTTATGAGAATGGCGTAGGAACAGAAAAGAATTTAGAAAAGGCCTTTTATTGGTATCAAATAGCTGCTGAGAATGGAAATATTCTAGCACAAACTAATCTTGCATTTTTATTTGAATATGGAGATAATAAGAATTTAGAAAAAGCCTTTTATTGGTATCAAAAAGCAGCTGAAAATGGCAATATCATAGCGCAAAATTGTCTTGCACTTTTATATAAAAATGGTGAAGGAACAGAAAAAAATTTAGAAAAAGCCTTTTATTGGTGTCAAAAAGCTGCTGAAAATAATAATGCTATCGCTCAAAATAATCTTGCAATTTCTTATGAGAATGGTGAAGGAACAGAAAAGAATTTAGAAAAGGCCTTTTATTGGTATCATAAAGCTGCAGAAAATAACTATTCTGCCGCTCAAAATCGCCTTGCACTTTTATATGAAAATGATGAAATAACGGAAGTGAATTTTGAAAAGGTCTTTACATAAATATGTTTTGCATATTATCAATCGTATATCCAAAACTACAAAATGGCGATATGTCAATCGATAAATCATTTTATGAACAATTACTTCTATTATTTATATTAATTATGTAAGAATTTTTATAAAGGAATTTGAGAAAGATAACATTTTATTCTTTTAAAAACTTCATAAAATATTAAATTTCAGGATAATTAATTAATGAATCATACTCATAATACTATAAATAAAATTTATAAATTATCATTATCATTGTGCAAATTTAAATAAAGCAATATACTGCGTAAATAATTTTTTTAAAAAAAATATATATATTTCAGAGTAAGCCGGGTGAACTTGTCGCCCAAAAATGTCTAGTAATAGTAGCGCCTTAAGCATAAAATTATAACCGCAAAATGGGAACGATTTTCTTATCAGAAAACGTGATTTCAATTTTTGCCAAGTTTGGAATGGGAAGTCCTACACCCCATTTTAAGGGTTCAAAATTCAGGAGTACTACCTTAGTTTGAATAAGATCTCAAATTTGGATATTGTGTTCCAAATCAGGTAAAATCAGATTAAAACTTCAGATTAGGAAATTGAGCGTCAGAATTTAAGAACATCTTTTAGAAACTCTTTTGCAATAGTTATGTATATATTCTAAAAAGTCCTAATTGAAAAATTGGTGTAATGGGCTGACTTGAGGCAACCATCGAAAATGAAATAATTTCAAGTTTGATCGTCAAATTAAATTTCCATGATCTTTGTGCCAATCAATTCTATAAAAAAAACCAACTCATATTAAAAGGGCAAACTAAACTCATATTAAAATCAATTAATATCAAAAACTTGACATCAACTTTGAGATTTTTGTTATAAATAAAAGAATAAAAAGAGATCAAAAGTTACTTATCAAGTAAAACTGTATTCGATTATTACTTAAATAAAGTTTATAATTGTGACAATCGAATTATACAATTCGAGAAGTGATCGACGATAAGTTTGGTGAGGAGATTTCTTTTTTTGATCTTCAAATCAAAATCGATTTTTTTCTCAAGGACGCCAATCTACAAGTTAAGAGTTGTGCATAAGTGTTAAAACAAATTTGGTTTAAATACCAAACAAAGGATCTTCTGGCTTAGTATCGAAAAAAATTAATCTCGTTACACGAAAGGAGCATCTGATACAATAATGAAATAATTTTACATAAATTAATATTTTTTAATTTAATTTAGCAGTACATACAAAAAAAAAAAAAAATAAAAAAAATTTCTTTTACCCATATTTTCGATATCCTCAATTATCATCATTTTTTTTTTTTTTTTTTCCTGAAAAAAAATTTTATTGATTGACAATGCAGTTAGAAATCCTACCAAACCTTTCATCCGATTTCTTAACCTTGCTTAAAGATTCATATAATTATGATGTTATCATCAAAGTCAAGGAGAAAGAATTTAAAGCACATTCAATTATATTATATGCTCGTTCAAATTATTTCAAGTTATTGCTGTCGGAAGGAAGGATATTTAACGAGGATAATACTATATGTCTCAAAATGACGGAAATTGATCCGACCGTCTTCGAAATGATCATGATGTACGTTGTTTTCTTTCATTTTTTTGTTTACCCCCTTTTTTTTTAAGAAAGGAAAAGAATACATTAAATAATTTCCTTGACATATTTTAATTATTTTGTTTTCTTTCAGTTATTTATATACGGGAGTAATGGATTTTTCAAATGTAGCGAACGAGACGATATTTTCCTTTCTACTCACGACATTTAGATTATGTTTATTCGAAGCTACAGCTTACACACAGTCTTATTTAGTCGATCATGCAAAGTCATGGATTCAAAAGAATTTTTCCACAGTATTAAATACGGTATTTAAGTTGGCAAATTGTAGAAAATTACAAAATTATTGTGTAAAGTATTTATGCTTGGAAGCAAAGTCATTCTTTTCATCAAGAGATTCATTACGACTTAGCAAGAGTATATTAAGCTTAATCTTAGATTTAGATAATTTATACATTGAAGAGATAGATTTATGGGATTACCTACTCGAATGGGGAATCACTCAAATTCATAATAATTTTAGTCATAAATTTAATAAAACCATCATCTTATCAAAATGGAACATTATTCAATTTGGAGAGGCTTTGAAGAAAACTCTGGATCCCTTGATTTATAGAATAAGGTTTAGAGAAATTAGCCCGGATGATTTTTATGAAAAGATCAAACCTTACAAGTTAATTATACCAACCGACATATATGAAGATTTAATGTCATATTACCTTATTGGTACACCCACAAAAATAGGAATGCCTTCACTTCCAAGAAGAGGGTATATTAATTCTTTGATAATTAACTCAAGGCATGCAAATATAATTTCCAATTGGATTGACAAGATAGATTTAGATAATAGTGAACTAATATCGAAGTCAAATAAGTATGAATTTAATTTATTATACAGAGGCTCGGTGGATGGATTTAACACAAAAAGATTTCATGAACATTGCAATAATAATGGTCCTTGCGTCGCCATTGTTAAAATTAAGGATTCAAATAAAATTATTGGGGGATATAATCCGGTCGGATGGTGTACGAGTAATTTTTGGATACATTCTAATGATAGCTTTATTTTTTCCTTTGACAATGAACCATCAGACTTGTCTAAAAGAAAGATTAGCAGGATTCTGCAAGGTGGTAAAAATTCTATTTATGATTGTGATGATTTTAACCTAATATTATATTTTGGTAATGGCGATTTGATTTTAGATGGTGTTAATGGAATTTGTGATAAATCTGTTTATGAATTTTGTCTTTTAAATGATGATGAAAAATGTTTTGAAGCCGAAGAGCTGGAAATTTTTAGTGTAAATGTTTAAGTATTATTGTATTATTTCTTGTTTCTTGTTTCTATTTTTTTTTTTATTTAAAAAAAAAAAAAAATTGTATTTTACTTGTTTTATATTGTTTTATATACGTTTAAATTAGACTTAGTTTTATTATTATTATTTTTTTATTTTTTTTTAAAAAAAAACTAAAGCTTTACTATATAGTCATTTATATGTAATTTTAACATTTCTTCCATCAAAATTAAACTCACAATTCATAAAACAATATATTTCATTTTCGAAAGAGAATCAAAAAATTTAAAAACTTGGTTTTGACCAAAAAAAGTCAAGCATGGTGATTACGATCGCATTAAGACATCGAATTAAATGTCGCAAATACAAGATCCTAATCAGCAAATTTGGATTCAAGACATTAAACCTGTTGGTCATAATTAAGCCTCAAAGTTGGGAAGAACATTCAAAAGGAATTTTATCGAACCCAAATCGGATTTTCTGGTTGCTAATATCTGATGGTGGGGAAGAAATACTAGTATAAATGTGAAAAACAATCAATTGACTTACCCGCGTAAAAATTAGTTTGTCGACACTTTTTATTCACTTGCCCTTACTTGGATGGTAACTTTATTAAGTTTCGGTCGGAATTCCCTTAGAGTGGGCTGATTCGTTCACGCCTCATTTATTTAAGATTACAAAATTCCTCAGACATGCTTAAATAAAAGGTTTTGTAATTTTAAGCCTTAATGATTGTTAATACGAATGGAGGAGTTTTTTTTTCGCATTGTGTGGTGTGGCATTTATGCATTCATACCTCACATTTATGTCAATAATATTCTTCTTACATACTTTAAGGTTTATAATTTTTTTTTTGTTTATTTTTTATTATAAATACACTTTAACCCAAATTGTGCCAACTGAATTCAGATTGCAACGTTTTACATCTCACAACACGACTCGATTCCATAATTTTGCCCTTTTATTCCTAAATCCTTGATGAATTACATCACTAAATAAATAATTGGAACTTAAGCTTTTGGTTTTATAACGACAAAAAGATTTCTTAAAACTTGATATTTAATCGTGGGTGGCGCAGTAAATCACAAAATTTACACGCATCATTCCTTTTAAAATCCATCATGAATGACAATAAAATCTAATATCACAATATTCCTAGAAGAATCAACCCTCCAATTTGAAAATTTCAACTTCCTTAATAACGTAATTAGAAGCGAACTCACCCAGATTATATTGATAATTTTGACTATATTTAACATGTAAATTTTTGTCATTATCCATATACATAGCTCCCCCACCAAAGTTAAATGCGCAATCATAGAATTCATATAACGCTTGATTACTATTTGACACCCGACTAATTTTCATGTTTTGAACATCTTCACTGTTTTCGAAAGAAAAGATGAAACTACCTGATGTCCTATGCCATTGACCACCGGTACAAAAATAAATCCCGATGGGACTGTACCCGCCAAATATTTTCGGTGAAGAACGGACCTTGACTAAAACCAAGCATGGTGATTGACGATAACATTTATCTTTTAAGACATTCGATATAATACCATCACGACTACCACGATATAAAAGTGTATATGGTAAATTCCGTTCCCCTACGATCCAATTATTGATTATTGCAAAGTGTTTTGGTCCAATAATTAATGAATCATTCTGATTCATTCTATTTCGTGATGATAAAGTCATTTCTGACAAGGAATGGTTCAGATAAAATCCCAAAAGATCTTCATAAATGTCAGGAGGAAAGATGGCTTCATATGGATGAACCTTAAGGTAGAAATCATTCGAACTTATATCCCTAAATCGAACTAGAGGGATAAATTTATTTAACGTATTCTTTAAATCCTTATAACTTTTATCCGTCCACCCCTCTCGGCTACTTTCCAATCCGGAAGTTTGTTTGATGCCCCATTTAATTAAAAACTCCCAAATTAATATTTCATCCATCTGCAAGTAATCACATTTAAGGAGACAATAAAGAATCTTCTCATCCAATGATGTAGAGTTGTCGGAAGAGAAAAATGGTAATGGGAGGGCGCAAATTAATCCAAGGCAATGGTCCTGTAATCTCTTACAACTAGAAAGTTTAAACGCTGCGGGAAGTACGTCATTAATATTTTTCTGAATCCAGACTGAACTTTCTTCAATTAAATAATTTTGAACGTCATAAAATAATTCATCAAGGATTAATTCGTCGGACGCAAGTAGTAATTCAAGAATATCTTCTCCAAGCTTGTCTGTTAAATCCACTTCACCTGTGTAAAGATACCTATAGTAATCATTCGAAAGAATCAAAAATTTAGTTACAAATAATTTAGTTTAAAAGTTCAACTAAATTAAAAATCGCATACTTGAGAATCATTTCAAAAACTGTAGGATTGATGTTTGTTTTTTTGAATTCAAACATATTATTACTATTTGTAACCCATCCAGATGAGAATACCGTTTTAAAATAAGGCGAACGAGCTTTCAATATATTAGAATGTGCACGAAATTCTGTTGTATTTTGATTTTCTCCGGCTTGAATAATTACATTATAATCATCCCCGTCATTTAACATCAAAGAAATATCTTTTAAAAGACCGCAATGAAATTTTAAAGTCATAGTATGAATTGCCCAGATTCGTTGCTTGGGATTTATTGTGAAAGAAAGAGAAGGAAAAGAGAAAGAGAGAGAAATCGATTTAACGTACGAATTTCGATTCGTGAAACATACATCCCAGCCAGCCATGTGATTAAATTATATGGTTATCCTAATTTATAAAAAAAAAAGGGAAAGGGCGTAAAAACAAATTTACTTTAGCCAAATAGGGATTTTTTGGCTGGAAAAAACGTAAGAATTTGAATATTATTTCTAACGAGATCGTTGCTTTTAAAATGAAGCAAAATGAATATTTTCATTACAATACAATGGCTTTTGGATTTTTATCCGAATTATCTCTCAATATTTCTCATTTACATGATAATGCGGATGATCGTAATGCTATTATCCCGGTTGGAAAAATTCCAAACACAAAGGAATTCCATTCACATTCCTGTATCTTGAAAATTCTTCTCAAATTTGGGTTGTAAAGGAAAATGGTATGATAGTCTTTACCAGATCAGTTTTTGAAGTCATTTAGGAAGCGAATGAATTAAAAAAAAATAGTGATACTTTTATTATATTGCATCACGATGGTCATTCCCCAAAGTCTGATTGGAACTGATTGCATATTTTTTTTCTTTAGTTATATTCACAACAGGGTTATAGATTTGAAAAATCACCTTATCTCAAATATCATTGATCTTATTACTATGAATTAACTTCTTAGAGACATGTTAACTTTTGTACAAAGCAATTATGTAAATAATTAATTTTTTATTTTTTTTTGAGAATTGTATATCAAATTACGACGTGACCTTGGGTTTATAAACTTTTCAGAAAGTTTCGTCAGGTTTAAAAATTGATATATTTTGAAATCAATAAATGAAAAAGAAAAAAAAAATTAGGATTACTATGACGCGCCTTGATTATTTATAATTTAATTAGTATCAGGACTTATTGAACTAAAAGAATATATTTGAAAACCAGAGAAAGTGATATTATATTTAGGAGAAATTCTATATATTTTATTTTTAATAATAAAAAAATCGAAAGCTTGAACGTTATGAATATAATCAGCTAATTTACGATCAGCCTTGATTAATTGAACTTATTTGTTTTCGAGTTGAACCATTATCGTTATCAATGAAATTGGATTTCCACTAATGTAGCCACTATATCTAAAAATAGCATCCCAAAAACCGCAGGTTAATTCGTTAAAATTGTATCCACAGAGTGGACATTTACAAAGTTCTGAGTCGATATCAAATTTGAAAACACGAAAACCCAATGGTTTAATGACCATGCTATGACCATAGGCTTAACAAGAGAAATTTGTGCAGTACCCTTTAATAAATGGAGAAATTGTATGAAGTAATTTTAAATAATTTACCAGTTAACTAATGTTTGTTACTTACCTTCAACATTTAAGCCTTGATCATAATATCTCCATTTGGGTGCACTTGAACTATATTTTCTCATTAACATGTTCTCAAAATCTGTAAAACTTCAAGCTGGAACCATTATAGATTTTTCTCTTGTATTATTAACTTAATAACATTAGATTCAGAAATTATGTAAATTATTCACTTAATAATAAACAAATACTTATGTTTTGATATAAAATATAAAATAGGTTAAATGAAAATTATGAATACAAATAATATTGAAATGAATTTTATTAATATTTAATTTAGAAATTTAAAAAGAATAATTGAATAAAGAATCCAATATCAAAGAAGATGAAAATTAATAATTAATATAAATAAAACAATATAATAAAAAACAACATAAAAAAGTAACATTTAATAAAATAAACAGAAATATAGGAGATCAGCATATTAGTTTAGTTGTCAAAATCTAAGCTTCTATTTTGGGTTACATTACAATAGCCACAGATTTAGGCCTCAGCTAAAGTATGATTTTTATAAGAATTTCATTATAATTGAATACATCAACTATAGACTAATATGCATTAGTAACTGATTGATTAATCTGTTGATTAATACTGATTATGTTTAAATACTAGAGTTGAAAGAATGTGAATGCAAATAAAGCTAGAAATTAATAAAAACTTAGCTTTTGCTGATAAATCTATAATGATACTATTTTATGTTTTCAAATTCAAGGACTTTTACACAAGTAAAAAGTAATTAACCAGTAATTAGTAGATTAAATATTATCTTTAAGTAGTTATAGTAATAATAGACTGTATTGCATATTATAATACTATTCAATTGAACTATTATTAAAGTTAGAGATCAAGTTTAATTTCTAAGTGTATTTAATAATATTAATATAATAATTACCTACCTTCTTGAATTTTATAGAAATAATAATTCTCAAAGCATAAGATTTATAAAGATATTTTATCTTAAATCTTTCTGATCATGTATAATAATATTCTGATAATAAAAAGAAGTTATAATATTTTTGATTAGTATAAATAAGAATAAAAATATATTAATTCTTATAATTAAAAGTAATTTTTCTATCCAATTCTGATAGTAGTCTTAGAGATCTAGTTAAATCTAGCTAGTAGTCAATTCTGATGATTAATATTTATATTACTAGATAGCAATCTTTAGGCAAATATAAATATAATAGATTATCTCTTAGAACATAGATATAAATTAGTTATAAAATATTATAGAAAAATTATAATATTTTAAAATTTAGTAATTATAAAAAAATAAAATAAAGTTTATTAGATTTATTATATTAAGATTTATCTAATAATAGTATTTTTAAAATTTTAAAATTAATAATTATTAATATATATTAATTTTTTAATTTTTTAATTTTTTAAAATAACTTATTATCTAATAATTATAAGAAAATAAAATTTAATTTGTTGGATTTACCTTAATAAAACTTATTAATAATTTATATTTTCATATTTTTAAGATCAATAGATAGTAAGATATATAAGTTTAAAATTTTAATTATTTTTCATAATAATTTATCATATGGGGGCGGTCAGTAGAAAAGAGGGAAATCCACTTTTTAGTCAAAAATTTTTTTATTGGCTCACTCTGCTGATCATAATCATGTGAACAAAACTAGCTTAATAACTAAAATTACTTAAAATTTGTAGATTTCCCCCTTTTCTATTGACCGCCTCCCATATATTTATCTTTAAAATATCAATAATTAATTACATTTTTTTTTAAGTTTTTACTTAGAAAATATCATAAAATATATTATAAAAATATAAAGGGATAGTTATTAATAAGTAGTTAAAACTTAAATTTAGATATTATATAAAACTATCCTTAAAATAAGTTTTAATATAAAAATTTCTATAATAATATAAAAATTTAATATAATAACTTTAATAATATAAAAATTTAATAAATGATAATAATCTATATAAAGATAGTATAATAATATAAAGTTATAATAGAATTATATAATATGAAGATTAATGAATTATAAATAATAAAGAAATAATGATATAAGTAGTATTCTAGGACATATTAATATATTAATATATTAATATGTCCTAGAATACTACTTGCTTAAGACTAATACGCCCTAGGACGTTATAATCTATCAATTAATATGTCTTAAGGCATTATAATCTATTAATTAATATGTCTTAAGGCATTATAATCTATCGATTAATATATCCTAGGATGTTATAATCTATATATATAGTATAGACCAGTACGAACGATTGGTATTGACCTCCTACGCCTGAATGGATGTCAAATTCTATTTTTGGGGTTGCTGGCTTTCTGTAGCTGTTTAGATATCTGGTTTTATATTGAGGATGCAGGCCTCCTGCATCTGATTGGGTGCTAGATTTTATATTAGAGTGTTTACCCTTTGCGCCTATTTGATTGCCCACCAAAATGCTGAAATATGGTAAAAAATTCTGAATTATCACGGGATATAAAAAGCATTAACAATATTAACGGATTTTCTCAAGAGCCTGACTCATTGCCTCGATTGGGAAGATACCATATGTCATCATATGTGATAATGAATTTATAAGAAATAAATATAGCACTAGTATCTTAAGTTAGTATTCAGAACTAGTGATAGAACTAGTGGCACGTTTGTTATCTTTCTTGGGATTATTAGCCTTCTGCCAATATTTTATATAATGATTTCGCAGAAGGTCACCCTAAATATCATCTATTAGGAATATATTTTTTCGCGATTCTCTTGCCATCCTGCTATATGTATGTCAATTTTACGTTCCAGAACTGGTAATATATTTATGGTCGGTTGGTTAGAGTATTGGTGGTGCGATATGTATTATCATGGCCAGCTCATTTGATTGCCAATGTTTTATATAATGATTATGCAGAAGACTCCATGCTATACCCGAGTACATATCTAGGAAGAATAAGTCTTACGCAATGGTTATACCATACCTGAATACATATCTAGAAAAATGTAGGCTTCTCCCAATATTTATATAATAATACTGGAAAAGCCTACACATTTTGTTGCATATCCACTTGCTTTTCATTTGCGATATGCTGGCTAAATTCACTATCCTTCTTTTTTACATTTCTAAAAAAATAAATTAAACATTTCCGATCTTTTATAAAGTTAGTATAACTTTTCCTACTATCAACATGCATACCTCAACTACTTTTAACCAAATTGATCGCACCGGAACTCTCGCCCGCTATGACGGCGCTGACCCCGATGAATACTTGAGTGACTCAAATAGCTATATTGATGAATCTGATTTGGGATCAGATGATTATAATAACTACGAGTCTAATTATGAGTCAGATAATAAA